ATGAATGGGAGTGAAGCGAGTGTGTCATGTGATCATAATAAAATGGCGAATGTAATACGTTGGATACCATTCATATTACTGACATTAATACTGTATAGAGCACAATTTTCTAACGTCGAGTAGTAAATTCAAATGCAGTACCTACTGAGTAGTAGGCGGTTTCGGACACAGCCAATTATTTTGGAACAGTAGACATGTCAGACTAAATAGTTTAAATCAATCATTGACTTCTGCTGTCTTTATTAGTTTCAAAAACACAGATTTTCTCAGACTTTTCTGCTGGAGATACTATTGCCCTAAAAAAAAAAAACACAATCTTACATATATACCATAGGAACGGTTTAGGGAAAAATTTTGGAGGTTTTAAAACCTTGGGCTCTAATTTGACGGTCGATGCGCAAAACGGAAAGCCCAGGGCGCAAACGCATTCAGGGCATGTCAGACTCCATATTTGGTTATTTTAAGGATGGAAAAATCCGCTTTGCGCCGTGGCGCATGGTCTAAAAGGGTTGAGTTTATTTTCTTAATGAGTTATAGGTGTGTTTTGAGAATAAACCAATCATCTCCCATTCCCTTTTATGAGCCAACTGCGTCGCGCCATAAGCACATTTGCTATTTACAGGACATAAAGTAAGTGCAAGTGGAAAAACTGAGCATTTCACTAGCAAACAGTTAACAGTAAACAGTTTTTTTAACAGAAAACGGTTAAACAGAGCATCTACCGCACAAGAATGAGAGATAATCGATCTACTTTCACTTTTGCTCTTGTGGGTAGGGAAACCTTTACGCACAGACATCTATTAGCCTATAAATAATTAATTTCGTTTGTTAAGCGTAAATATTTGTTTCAAAACTATTTCTAAATTCAGTTCTAATTTCCAGCAAACGAATAAATGAACAAAAATAACGAAGTGTGTTCAAAAACAGTGATTTTTCATATTTATGTAGGCTAGAAAATAATGTTTTGTAAAATTTTTATCCTTTATATTTATATCCTATATTTTTTTATTATATCCTATATATATTCTTAATATTATAATTTTTTCATATGTAAAGATATTTGCGTATTGCTCTACTTCTTGTTTGTAGGCTATTAAGCAGTGTGTAAGCGAGGCACAACTCTGCACTGGAGTTTAGACCGGGTTTGTTTTGGTCTAATGAAAAATCTATTATAGTTTCTCCAAATAGCAACGCGCCAGCGGTCCGCCTCAGAACGCCTTCCTTTTTAGACCAGAACGCCTATGGGCGCACATCTGAGCCCAAATGAATTTGCTATTTAAACAATGTGGTGCAAAACAGCAAAACGACACTGGCGTCAAGCTGAAACTAGCAAATAACATTTACATCGCGCCTTGCGCCACATTGCGCCGGGTGTATGATAGGGCCCCTTGACTTTTCTATTATACCTTGAAAACAGTTCATCCATGTCTACCTATCAAGTGGAAAAAGTCCAGACACCCCTGATGTAGATATTCATATTATAATTTAAATATGAGCATTTTTATAACTCCTGATTCATTTCTATTTGTTATTAAAATTATATCTTTAACTACAATGGAAAGAGTCATAAAAAAGATCATTGGGTCACTAATAGTTTAATTTTGTGTGCTTTCATAATTTTACCATGATTAAAACATAATGGATTTGCCTTGATTGGGGACTGGTAATTATTCATCCAGATATATCCACAAATTTAATGCATGTCTCACCTTCATAGCTGGAGCTGTAACAAGTTCATAGAAATCTGGTATATTCTTCCCCAGCTTCAACCCTTTAAAAAAACAAGCACATGGATTTTATTTTAATGCTTCAATTTTATAAGCTCTAGTTTTATAGGACTCTCTGGCTTATTAAAGACACAGAAAAAGAATGGAGGAAAATCTGGTTCATCATCTCTTATATAACCATGAAGCATCATTACCAGACTTCACCAAAGGTTTCAAGCTCCTCAGGGCAGATAATCTCTTTGTCAAAGAGCCCTGAGTCAGACCTGGAATGTCAACGGGTGGAGCGTCTAACAGTGGGTGGATGGCGCAGGCCAGTGTTTCCAAATAGCGTAAAAAATCAGGATACACCTTTTGTAAAGAGAGACAAAAAATAATGTTAATTCCATATTTTTTTATTGTATATAGTTCAAATTATTTTAGAAGTAAAGACTCATGTGCATTAAAAAAGCAAAAGTCTACTTTTAATGTTCTGCAAAAAAATTGGCACCTTTGCTAGTGGTAATCAGTGTTGGGTGCAATTGCTTACAAAGTAACTATGTGCTGTAATTAAATTACTTATCTGCTGAAAAAAGTCATTTAATTAGTTACTTATAATAATCAACAGTTCTGTATAAATCAATTCAAAGAAGCAAAGTAACTTTAAAATTAAATATATAAATATATTTTGCAGGTTCTTTTTTTCTATCAGACGATGCTTGAGGAAAAAAAATTTAAGTGAGAAATTATTCATTCATTTTCCTTCGACGTAGTCCCTTATTTATCAGGGGTCGCCACAGCGAAATGATCCGCCAACTATTCTGGCATACGTTTTACACAGCAAATGCCCCTCCAGCCACAACCTAGTACTGGGAAACACCCATACTCTAATATTCACACACACACACACTTATACACTATGCCAGCTTATTCAATTCACCTACAGCGCATGTCTTTGGACTGTGGGGGAAACCGGAGCACCCAGAGGAAACCCATGTGAACACGGGGAGAACATGCTTGAGTGAGAAATTAGTTCACAACAAAATATGCTATAAATTCAAAGATAAGGAGTCATTTTATGTATGCATATCTGATATTCAGATATTTTGCATAAAAAAGATCTTTTAGCTTAAGATAGTCACACTTGTCATGCAATTGCACACGTCAGAGACAAAGAATTGAGCTTTAAATAATGCCAATATAGGGTAGGACTGCACAATATATCATGTCAGCATTGATATTGCAAAGTGCAAATCTGCAATAGTCACATCGCAGGATGTCAAGCAATTTCAAGTCAAATTAAACCATTTGGACACAATATAATATAAAGTTTGCCACTTTGTTTATTTATACAATGAAGAATAGTGTTATTTTATATTTGAGTATTGAATTATTAGAATACCATAAAGCTCTGTTTACATCTTTTTTATCTTTGTTCTCATCTGTGCTTTAATTTATTTTATATGTATAATTTTATCATTTTGTACATTTTATGCAGACGTACTACAGTAAAAAATCACCCCAACCAATGTAAAACTATGAATTCTTTCCAAATAGAGTAATCCTGTGAAATTATATTCATAACGCATTACATTGCAGAAAAAAAAATATTGCAAAGTCAGTTTTCTCCAATATCGTGAAGCGCTAATATAGAGTATGTAATATGGAATATGTTGTCATTGCTTTGAAACATTTTTTGATTTAATACAAAGTTTAACTTTTTTATATTATTTATTGTTTTGAATGAGGCTAAAAGGCTGTTTGACTCTAAAGAGTTAAATTTTTATTGTCTATGATTTTAAGTACAATTGGAATTATGCATTCAACAATTACATTATTTTTTGACAATTTTAATGTGAATATTAATTAGTTATATTTTTTGGAAATAACTTACCAAACACTAATGGTAACTAGATTTTCGTTTTTAAACATATACTTTAAGACGGCGCAGTAGGTAGTGCTGTCGCCTCACAGCAAGAAGGTCGCTGGTTCGAGCCTTGTCTGGGTCAGTTGGCGTTCTGTGTGGAGTGTGCATGTTCTCCCTGCGTTCGCGTGGGTTTCTCCGGGTGCTCCGGTTTCCCCCACAGTCCAAAGACATGCGGTACAGGTGAATTGGGTAGACTAAACTGTCTGTAGTGTTTGAATGTGAATGAGTGTGTATGGATGTTTCCTAAAGATGGGCTGCAGCTGGAAGGGCATCCACTGCGCAAAACATATGCTGAATAAGTTGCCGGTTCATTCCGCTGTGGCAACCCCAGATTAATAAAAAGACTAAGCCGACAAGAAAATGAATGAATGAACATATACTTTAGTCAAGACATTGATCGGTTTTAGTCAAATTTAGCTGAAATTATACAAAATTCTTTGTATTTTAAAAGATATTTCTACCTCATTCATGATTAAAGGAATTGAGTGTGTTACAACTACCCCCAGATTCCCCTTCTTTGCTTTTAGAAAGTTTATGAAAGTGCTTTTGACACTCAACCTTGGCGTCTTTCTCAGAGAATTTGCCAATCTCTTGCCGCGTATTTGTCAGGTCAGATCCGAGCAGTAAAGACCGCGGTGGTCGCCCTCCTACACCATCCTCCAGCATGGGGGTAAATGAATAGGGGTCCCTCATGTAAACCTTCAGGCCATGTTTCTGTACAAAAAGACACTCTGTGGAGAACTGCTGTCATCTTAGCTTGAAAGGGGGGAAAAGTCATCAATCATCTGTTTTCATGTTTCTGTTGTGAAAAGAGTCGGCTATTGTGATGAAAGATATATTTTTAAAAGCTGTATTTGCAAATTATATAAAAGAACACTCAAGTTAGAGATTTCACTTTCATGTGTTCATATGTGTTTAGACACATTTTAAAAAATGCACTTTGTAATAGTGTCAAATAAAAATTTTGCATTTTAACTATACTTCAAAGACAAAGTTATGAAATCACATAAAGATTTAGTCCTACCTACACTCACCGGCCACTTTATTGGGTACACCTGTAAAACAGCTCATTAGCACAAATTTCTAATTAGCAAATCACATGGCAGCAAATCAATGCATTAAGGGCATGTAGACATGGTCAAGACGATCTGCTGCAGTTTAAACTGAGCATCAGAATGGGGGAGAAAGGGGACTTGGGTGATTTTGAAAGTGGCATGGTTGATGGTGCTAGAAGGGCTGGTGTCAGTATTTCAGAAACTGAGAATGATCCGAAAAAGAGCAAATATCCAGAGAGTGGCAGTTCTGTAGGCGCAAATGCCTTGTTGATGCCAGAGGACAGAGGAAAATGATCAGACTGGTTCCAGCTGATAGAAAGGCAACAGTAACTCAAATAACCACTCAATACAACAAAGGTATGCAGAAGAGCATCTCTGAACGTACAACACCTTGAAACATGAGTCAGATGGGCTACAGCAGCAGAAGACCACACCGGGTGCCACTCCTGTCAGCTAAGAACAGGAAACTAAGGCTACAATTTGCACAGGTTCACCAAAAATAGAACAATAGTATATTGGAAAACCGTTGCCTGGTCTGATGAGTCTCGATTTCTACTGTTACATTAGGTGGTAGGGTCAGAATTTGGCATCAACAACATAAAAACATAGATCCATCCTGCCTTATATCAACGGTTCAGGCTGGTGGTGGTGGTGTAATGGTGTGGGGGATATTTTCTTGGCACACTTTGGGTCCATTAGTACCAATTGAGCATCGTGTCAACGCCACAGCCTACCCGAGTATTGTTGCTGACCATGTCCTTTCCTAAATGACCACAGTGTATCCATCTTCTGATGGCTATTTCCAGCAGGATGTAAAGCACGATGTCATAAAGTGCGAATCATCTCAGACTGGTTTCTTTAACATGACAATGAGTTCACTGTACTCAAATGGCCTCCACAGTCACCATAACTCCATCCAATAGAGCACCTTTGGGATGTGGTGGAATGGGAGATTCGCATCATGGATGTGCAGCCAACAAATCTGCAGCAACTGCGTGATGCTATCATGTCAATATGGACCAAAACCTCTGAGTTATATTCAAAGTACCTTGTTTAATCTAGGCCATGAAGAATTGAGGAAGTTCTGATGGCAAACGGAGGTCCAACCTGGTACTAGTAAGGTGTACCTAATAAAGTGGCCGGTGAGTGTATGTAAAGAGCAAACTTAAAGTTCAAATGTATATATTTATACTATATTACATTTTAGCTGTGTTAAAAGAACTGAATGAATGAAAAGGTTAAAAAAAAGAAAGGTTTGCAAAACTAGTATAAAAGATCTGTGCCACAAAGAACTTTTTATTGAAGTTCTTCATGAAAACATTTATTTCTTTGTGTGAACATTTTGAAAATCTAAAGAATGTTTTCCACTTTAAATGTTTTTCTAAGTTTTGTGGAATGGAAAGTTCCTTTGTATGTTAAACTACTGATGCAAATGAAGAGTCTTTATTTTTTAAGAGTGCAGTTGCTTGAAAGATATTTAAATAAACTCTGTACTGGAAGTAAAATGAGAATGTGGCTTGTAACATCAATATGAAAATCACCTTAAGCTCCAGGTCCTGGTAGATGTGTGGACGTAATAAACTAAGCAGATAGGAGGCCCTGGAGAAGTGAAACCCTGAAATAGACAGGCAATTCCCAAAGTCATGCAAACTAAACAGATAAACGGCAGAATGTAATATTTTTTAGGGTCAGCAACAACCTATTAGGCCTACTTATTAGCTCTGAACAAACTTCTAACAGAGTTTCTGCAGGTTAAATTTAGGATTTAAGAAATTTTTAAGACTATTCTGATCAAATTTCAGACTACATTATTTCTGTTGACTGTTTTCTAATTATTTTTACTTGCCCCATTTAAAAAAAATCTAATTTAGTTATTTCTTAAAAACATAATTCAAATAATGTGTCAAAACAAGCAAACTCTACACTACCTCACAAAAGTCTTGTCATTGATCCCATTTGTAAGAGCATAAATTAATAACTTGATTTCTAGGTGATCATTTGGAACAGTGGCAGAAAGTCAGATGAATTCAGATGAATCATCTGTTGAACTGCATTCAAGTCATCACAAATACTGTAGGAGACCTATTGGAACCCGCACTGACCCAAGACTCACAGATCTGCAAAATGGATGGCAACATCAACAGCCTGAGGTATCAACACATGTGTGCTGCCCATTACATTACAAACCACAGAAGAGGACAAATACTTCAGCAGTATAGTGCTCTTTCTCATACTTCAGCCTCCACATCAAAGTTCCTGAAAGCAAAAAGGTCAAGGTACTCCAGGATTGGCCAGCCCAGTCACCAGATATGAACATTATTAAGCATGTCTAGGGTAAGATGGAGGCATTGAAGATGAATTCAAAGGATCTTGATGAACTCTGGGAGTCCTGCAAGAACACTTTCTTTGCCATTCCAGATGACTTTATTAATAAGGGATTGGAGTCATTGCAGAGATGTATGGATGCAGTCCTCCAAGCTCATGGGAGTCATACACAATATTCATTCTTTCTCCACTGCAGCATGACTTTATATTCCATACTGTACATTATTTATGTTAAGTGACAAGACTTGTGTCTAAGCAAAGTCAGACCTTACTGTCCTAATGAGATAATTAAAAATCAAGACATAATCATATTTTATTTTGGTAAGATAAGTGTAATCTAGAGGCTTTCGCCTTTGATATAAGCCACTTCTGATACCAAATGATCAACTTGAAATCACTTGTTGTTCTTAAAACTTGGATAGGCAACAAGACTTTTGTCAGGTTGTGTAGTTTAATGAAAAAAACACAATTTTAGGTCCAGGTCAGTGTCCTCACCAGGTACTTATAAATACATGGAGAATATGTTGGTAAATAGTGTTAGTATTGGTAAATAGTAACTTTTGTTCTATTGAGTTGTATTGTTGGTGATTGTATAAGTCTTGGCCTGCTTGGGTAGCTTTACGTAGAGAAAAGAAAATTAAGACTTCTTTAAAATTATTCAAGACTTACAACCCATATTTTAGTGAATTTGAGACATTTTAAAACCTAAAATATAAGCTAGTTTTTGAAATTTAAGACATTTTAAGATCCTGCAGAGACCCTGAACAAAAGCCTTTATTTTTTTCTATTAGAAATTAATCTTTCGCAAGTCTGTAAGGGATTCATTTGACCTTGTTGTGGCTGATAAATCTAAACTCACACCTGGAATGATCTCTTCAGACACAGCTGCTCCCCCAAGCACATGTCTGCGCTCCAGCACTGCTGTTCTCAGGCCTCCCTTCTGCAGATATGCTGACTGCACAAACCACAAGAGAGTTTCTTGAAATGAAACTGTTGTGCAATTACAGGTCAGCTACATAATAAGAACACGTGTGGTGTGTACTTACAGCAATGAGGCCATTGTGACCTATGAAAGGAATGATAAAAGAGAATGAATGGAGCAACTCATTTTATGCTGTTCAAAATAGTCTGAAACCTATCCTTTGCTAGATGCTGTAAAGGAGCACATGATTGTATCGTTCAAATGATGCAGAGATTTGCAACACCATTTAATAAGTAAAAGAAATAGAATGCTCTGAATGTTTGAGCAATACATAATCTTTTTTCCTGCAGGAGGTGCACGGAGGCTCACTGTAGGCAAATACACTATCGAACAGCATTAGTCATTCGGATACTTTACCTGATATATTTGCAAATAGTCAGAGGTGTTTGAAAAATACTGTTTACAATGTTTAGTATCTAGCATATATCTTTACATTGTCAAGTTTTTTTAGTTTTTAAACAACAAAACAATCCTCTCTCGACGACTCTAGATCGACTGTGACTGGCTTTGCTTGGCAAGCGTTGAGAAAAGTAACAAGTGCCACGTGACATCTTGTTTATGCAATACTTCTTAACGGTCTTATTAATATTTTTAACTACCAGATGAGAATAAGAAATGTTGATTAGACATGGAGTAAAACACACAACAAAAAAATCGTTGAGAAAACAAAATAGTATTTTATCCATCAATCTAACATGACCAATCGGAGAAAACGTACTTGCAATAAGCCCCGCCCACTTAAGAACTTAACTTAGTGCATGCAACATTTGTATTTCTGTGTTTTAGGCCTTGCATGAAAGTGTATCTACCTACCTGCACCGATAATAACTGCGTCATACTGAGGTTTGAGGGCAGTGCTGCTGTGGCTGCATCGCTGTGTGACTGAAATAAAGGCTCTGTGCGCGCGACCTGCTCTGACTGACACAGCCATGACGAGTCCGGGTGGCCCTCAAACCCAGAGCTCAAACTCCGTAACTCCTCCCTCACCGCCACAATATAACGAAAACTCCAATAACAAGGTATTTTTACTCTCTCAGTAACACTCCGCCCTGTATGGAAAAAAGATACATCAGGGGTCTTCAAAGGGGTGCTTGGCACTCTCAAGGGACCACAAGTGAGAGCTGGGGGCATATAGAATCAATTAATAAGTGAAAATGACGGTAACAATCAGTTTAATTAAAATAAAGGTAAAATGATTACACTATGGTCAAATATTAGGTAATAAACAGATGTAATATTTGTAAAGTAAATTTAAAATTTAAAAATGACAGTAGTTTGTTTATTACCTAATATTTGACAATAGTGTAATCATTTTACCTTTATTTTAATTAAGTTAATTCAGTTACTGTCATTTTTTTCTTATTTTAAATTTACTTTACCAATATTAAATCTGTTTATTACCTAATAGTTGACATCAGTGTAATAATTTTATCTTTATTTTAATCAAATTAATTCAGTTACAGTTATTTCTGCTTATTTTAAACTTACTTTACTGATATTACATCTGTTTATTACCTACTATTTGGCAATAGTGTAATAATTCTACCTTTATTTTAATCAAATTAATTCAGTTACTGTCATTTCTGCTTATTTTAAACTTACTTTACTAATATTATATCTACTAGTTTGTTTTTTAACTAATATTTGACAATGTAATGTAATCATTTTACCTTTATTGTCATTAAATTAATTCAGTAGTAGATATAATATTAGTAAAGTAAGTTTAAAATAAGCAGAAATGACAGTAACTGAATCAGTTTGATTAAAATGAAGGTAAAATGATGACACTATTGTCAAGTATTAGGTAATAAACTGATTTAATATTAGTAAAGTAAATTTAAAATTAAAAAATGACAATAACTGGATTAATTTGAATAAAAAAGGTAAAATGATTACACTATTGTCAAATGTTAAGTAATAAACAGATGTAATGTCAGTAAAGTAAGTTTAAAATAAGCAGAAATGACAGTAACTGAATCAATTTGATTAAAATAAAGGTAAAGTGATT